AAGCAAGGAGGTAGTTTACAATATAGGCTGTTGGAGAAGTGAGAAAATTACTCAAAAAGCAATGAACTAAAGCTTTGAAAGGCTGAGAAATGTATTGAAACTATTTAATATGAAAATATTTGGAGCTTAAAATAAGTCTTTTGATAGGATATTAGATATTTGTCCAATGACTGAGCTACAGTCGCAGTGGAAGGTTTTCATGATGTGCCCAGGGTGGATTTACCATTAGGCAATACATGGCAGTTGCCCAGGGTCCCAAGTTCCTCGGGGCCCCATAGAAATCTGTTTATATGTATGGTTAATACAACTATTCATTATTTTTGCACATTTTGTTTTCAATAAAAATCTTTTCGCTAAAATGCCATCAGACGCTTATAATATTAAGTGTCTCACATTCCCCCCCTTACACACACACACACACACACACACATTGGATCAGTCAATTTTGTTGTACATGTTTAGAAAGGTCCAAACTGACAGCAGCAAACTATTGAAAAGAAGTGGTGCGCAGAGCAGGGTTGCCAACTTAGCATTTTTGTCGCTATATTTAGCAACTTTTCAGACCCCTCTAGCACTTTGATTTCAAAAAAGCGCCTAGCGCCAAATCTAGGGGCTTTTTTCTGCTACAGCAGACGTTGGCGACAACATAAATAAGCACAGAACTCTGCTCTCCAGAGCAAGTAGATTTGTAACCCCGCCTCCTGCTTTCCTCTATCTTGTCTGCTGTCATGATTCATGCAGCTATTATTTCATTATTTTCATTACACATGAAAAATGGAGAACAGATAAGCAGATCATGGCTTGTCTACAGTGAAAAGAAGGACTAAGTTATTTAATTTTGCCATTGGCTTTTTGGAAACACAGGAAGGAGCAATCGGCTAAGTGAGCTTAGTGCTTGGAAAAAATCTTTCATACCTTTGAGACAGCATGAAAATTCATCAGAGTAGAAAACATAGAGAGAAAAACAACAAGAAAGGGGACAAGAAGAGAGGGACAAAACGTAGAACAAATAATGTATGTCTATGTTTTATGTGTTATCTTTGCAATTCAGAAGGGCACCTGCCTGTCTTTGCCTGGGGCCCCAAATTTCTTAAATGTGCCCCTGGATGTGCCTATACCTATTTCATCAATACCACAACAGGTTGTAACTGTATTGTCATCAATATATACTTATAAAGGCATCCTTATAAAGACATCTTTACGAAGACATCTTTGCATCATTTTTAAAGATGAAGCCTTTCTGCACATTTCTCTCCACTGAGTCCAAAACCATATTAATGCTTAACATTTCTCACAGTTCTCTAAAACCTTTGTTATGGAAATCTGTAGTGCATTTTCTACATTTCCTACAGTAATCTGAGCAGAAATAGGAACGGTTAGATCAAGGTAAACAATTTCAGTTAAAGAACTCAAACTACAATTGTAACTGATGATCATGAAGACCGCTAAAAAAGTGTTATGTTTTATGAGCACTTTTTCCACTGGAAATGTGGCTGAAAGGTCAAACAGATCTAATGCGGCAGAAAGCATTCCCGTTTTTCATAGATGCATTTAAGAATTTTGAGACCGACAGTGGATTTGCTGTGGATCTTCTTGCTCCATGTTTCTGTAAGACACTCAAGGTTACATACGCAGCCTTTATAAAGTCTAAAGACTTACTGAGGAGTAAAGCCAGCTAGCCAGCAACGTATCTGTCACTTTCCATTCCTGTGCACTCTGAGCATTTCACTTCTCACATACATTATTGATATTAAAACTATAAACTTGTAATTATATTTATTGAGCTCAACCTTTAATTTCACTTTGATTGTTTCTGAAAATGTACTTTAATATATTTATATATATGTTTGTGGTAGTACTGTCTAACTTCATCCTTTGCCTTTTCAGGTCAGCGCTTGCCGTCAATCTAAAAGAACATAGATCAACGCAGACTTTTTTTTTTTTTTTTTTACACACACTGTATACAAAACTACATTTCGATGCAGACAGCTTTTCAACAGTGAATATGCTGCAATGAACATTTCCGTTTATAAAGTTTAGCGGCGATCAGAAAAATGTGGTGCAAAAATGCAGTAAAAACATTGAGTTGAGTTCTATTTAACCGGATCTGAAAATTTGCCCTATAGTGCAAATATGATGCTGGTGATGCAGAGTCTTGATTTGTGTTTTGATTAGAGTTAAACAGTCTGATGGCAGCGAGGAAAAAGCTGCTGCAGAAACTGCAAAACAGTTTTATTGTAACTCTGCTGAGTGAAATAGAGTGAAATTGGGAAACACTGAGATAATTGTGATCTGGAAGAACTAAATCACATGCTTGCTGTTTCCAGTGTTGATTCCCAGAAGCACAGTTTTCTAGTTCCATACTGGCTGATTCTGAATTTTGATGTGTTGTGATTTGTTTGTAGATATTTCTCCTTCATAAATATTAGTGTGCTATTATGTAATGGTTCTTTAATTCTCAAAGCTCCTGAATGTACCCAGCAACGTTGTTCAGGCCAGTAGGGAAATGACTCCTAAGGATATAACTTTAAATGATGTATTTATAGCTGCTCTAAGATGACATTTAGTTTGTTGGCTTGCTCGCAAACTATAAACATTGATATAGTTAAATTTACTACATTGAAGAAAGAAATCTTCTTTAAAGTAAAAATGTAGATAAGATTTCTCTTCTGCTTGAGAGGAAACCGCGGCAGACCAAGCCAGATGAAAGTGCGCATTCAGCTCGGCAAAGAACTCATGCTCTTTCTCAACACTGAAGTCCTCAGACATTTTTCTTTCGTTGTTTCTTTCTTTGCACAGGTAAACAGCACATTTCTTCTTCTACGCTTGCATTATCGGCAGAGCAGACGCTGAATGCGGACGTTCATCTGGTTTGGTCTGCCGGCTTCCGTAGCGTTGTGAACGCGCAGGCGCGCGCTTTCAGGAAATCTTATACACTACTGTTTATGCTCTAAAAACATTCTAAATGACTTCGTTTTGAGTAAATTATGGACGCTACCCACTCAGGACACTTGGAATACATTGGACGAGCAGTATGGAGGAATATTGACACGTTTTTTGTGGACTTTTATGGACCTTTCTGCCTCGAGCACCATAGACCTCCATTATTTGAATGTCAGCAGACAGCAAGAAGCCTCCCAGATCTCCTGATGCATTTGAGATATCAAAAAAGTACTCCAGAGTGTTGTTCAGCATGGGGGTGAGTAGAAAATGAAGGCTAATCATGTTTTGGGTGTACTATTCCTTTAACCCCCCCTGAAAAAAACACACCAAAAAAAAACAAAAAACAAAAAAAAACAGGCTGCACTAATGCAGCTATTTATTCAGGGTTATGGGATGACTTTTCTGTTTGATATTCATTTTAAGTTTTATTTTTTGTCTCAAATTTCCTAAAAAGAAATAATTTTTCATATTTTATTAGTGATCATTAAAACGAAAAGAGATACAAGCAAATGACAAATATAACTTAGTAATCAATCAATACACAAGTCTTACCATATTTTAATTACAGAAATAAATTAGCTTCAAAGAATTGCACCTGAAGTGCATATTTTCAGTTTCTTTATCTGCCTAGACACAGATATGGTCCTGAATTTTTTAATGTCTGGGTTAAACCAAGGTTGTCAATTTCTACCCAACAGTTCTCATTCAGTTGGAAATTCAAGTCTAAAGCTTAAAATAACATTGAAATTTGCTACGATGTGCATTTTATGGTTTACACAATAGGATAAAAACACGCCATTTTAATAAATATAGTTAAAATGTTTTTGACGGCTTAAAGCCAATGACCAAATCATGTGATTTGTGTAACATTTAAAGACAGAAAACATGTGGAAAAGGAAAGTATTTAGGATAAAAAGCTACTTAGCATATGTCAAAAGGTGTTATGGGCTTGCTAAAAACTTCTGAGTTGTTTTCCTGAAAAGTAGACATGCTGTTAAAGGAAAAAAAAAATGTGTTTGATAAAGCCATGTAATCTCTAACAGCAGATGGCAGGATTTGCATATCGGCCCTCTGCTGCCCTCTTGTGGAGTAATACTGCACAGCATCAACGTGGCTTGATTTTTATTTTAACCAGTTATAAGTGTGGGACAAAAAAAAAATCATATCACCTGAATAGATTTACTTTAGAGTTTTCACAAATGTCACAAATAGAAATAAAATAAAAAATAATGTGTTATATTGGATCCAAATTAGTGGCTGTCAACACAACTAAGTTAAAACTTTTTAACTCAGCCAATATAGAACTAGTTTTACTCTGGTTATATATTTCATTAGATGTTTCCTTCACTTTCCTTACCCTTTTGGAAATTTATGAACACTTTGATATTTAAATATGTAATAAACTGCATAAAATATTTAATGTACCTATTCAAAATGTTAAACATTTAAAACAAATGACCAACAGCGATGTCTAAAAATAATAAAAAAAATATATATTTGAATGCTATTATTTTTCCATATTAAATTTATTTGATTAAAAGTCAATGTAATAGATGTATGTAATGCAATGTAAAAAAAATAAATTGTTCATATGGTTCCTACTTAGAGCAACATCAAGTTGAAAAACAAACAGTACATGTATGTCTAATACTTTCTTTTTTGTTTGTTCCTTTGTTTCCTGTTTACTAATTCCATAACTGTATTCAGGCCTTTTTTTTTATTATTCTAATTTCGTATTTTCATCTTTGACAGTCAAACGTCTAATAAGCAGGTGGGGTATTTAACAAGATATATGCAAATGAACATCTTTATACATAATCAGCAGACTTAACACAAAGTGTTGTTTTGCAGGTTTATTAGACACTGATGGATACATACAATACAATTATATTTTCAGCATTTCTATTTCTATGTAAACTTTGGTTAACAAACAACCAAACTTCACAACAAAACCCCACCCAGTTGTATAAGAGCGCCATGATTGGACCGTACGTCTGTAAATCCCGTCCCTCTTCAAGCGGCTCTTCCTATTGGCTGACGGTGACGACAATCCCGAAACGTGCTTCCGCCCACCGAGCGGATCAAGTTTGAATGAACAGCAGCAGCCAGCTCCTGAGGTGCTAGTTGCATTTGCAGTAATTATTAAAAGTGTGTATCGTATCCTCTGAGTGCCGATCAAGGATGGACATGAAGAAAAGAATTCACCTGGAGCTGCGGAACCGCACTCCGTCAGATGTAAGTTGGCCGCGCATCTCTCCCACTGTGATGTTTTCACGCTGCCTTAATGGAGAATATTTGGTGTGATGTCTTGGCGTGGGGAGGGAGGGGGGGATACAAAGTTTCATCCAAGTTAAAAGATGATGGAGGCGTAGGGGTCACATTGTTGCTTGGAGCTTCGTGTTTACACTCTGCTGCTTCCAACTTTCTGCGCCGCTCCAACATTTTCAGGATGCAGCTCAGTTTTTGATAAACACGGCGAGGAGCCATATTTCTAACTTTACATCTACGAACCCTGTTTTGGTTAACATTCTGTATTATTCTCATGCACTGACTGTTTAACGTGTTATCCGTAAACAGTCCTGCATCTGAATATTTTAGATCGTGCATTTCGCGGGCTGCGGATGTGCATTACTGGAAGTCATGGAATTATCTAAGGATGCGTGAAGACTGTAACCTTTAGTGATTATTATATAGCCGAAACCGCCCATGTTATTTCTGCATGGACTGCATTAGAACGTTGAGCTTACGCTGTGTGAGCCTGCAGCGCGTGCAGCCTCCGCTGGAGCCTCAACAGTGCGCACAGATGGCTGAAAGTAACGCGCTGTTGGTACCCGGACCTTCAGCAACCGCCAAACTGGGCGAACACAGGCCGGGTGAAACACAAACACGCCCGGGGACGGTGTGAACCTCATTCCGACCTTTTATTGGGGGCAAGCAGCCGAAATTAGGTTCTCCAGCAGCGTTGTTATTGTTGCTCCAGTTTTCCAGAACTAGGACAAGCCGCCATTTTACCTAGAAACAAAGGCATTTCGAAACACACTGAAACTCCGTCCTTTCGACACGAACGACGAACGGTTTATCATACCTTCCTCTTATTAGTGGTATACACTCGTTGTTAGTCCCGACCGACAATGCTTTAGGTGAAGCAACAATGAAACGTTTGCCTGGCGGATATCTAATCGGCTTTAGCGGCCCCTCCTACTCACGAATGACCCTGTGCACGACTCGTAGGTGCTCCGCTCCCACTGCTTTTTGTTCGCTAAAGGCGCTTCTGCGACGCTTGGAAACCAAATACGCGGTTTTTAATGTACCACTGCTCAGCCAACGATTCATAAAGTAACACCAGACGCAATTCTTGCTTTTCTTTCGTAAAAAGATATACAAATGTATTATTATTTACGTAACGATAGAGGAGCCAAGCTATCGCGATATTTAGAACGGTGAGATTTGCACTGACCGCTGCATGTTAGGTGGACAGAGACGTTCAGGGTCCAAATTAAATGTCAGATAACGGCACACCTGGGACCGTGTACATGTTTTTTTTTCTTTTTATATCAAAAGGTCAAATAAAGTAAACTTGATTGTAATAGAACAGTTTCTACTATAATTGTGTCCAATTGTGTCCTCGGCCAAATGTAGCCACACCCCTGTTTATCTTTCCTTTCCACTACCATGATGGTACTTTATCATCTTTGTGACAGAGCTTTGCATTTGCTCACCATCCCATTTAAATTAAGGCTAGTTCTGGTAAATCTTACTCAAAAAACATGCTCTAAAAAACAACACATACTGGCACTTAATAAATGTGAGGATAATAATATGAATAAAGATTGTGGTCATTAAGGTTATTTTACCCTTATTTTAAGGGTAAAAATACTCAATCCAATAGGCAAACTATATCATTTACCTACTCAAATTAATGGTAAATACACTTAATTTAAGACATTTTTTACTTGTTTCTAGATTGTGTTCCTGTGGGGAAGTTTCTCATATCTACATGTATTACTGTTTTTCATTCTAATTGCATTAGAATAAATTGTCTAAAACCAGTTGCAAAAGGTAAAGTTAGACATATTCTTTTATAAAACATTTATTTAGTCTCTCTGTTTCTACCATTACCAAGTATACTTGAAATACTTTGTCCTCTGTACTTAATTTTTTTGCACATTTGATTCAGGTTTTATAACGTATGCCAACCTGTGTGTTGTGTTGCAGGTCAAAGAACTTGTGCTGGACAACTGTCGCTCAAATGAAGGCAAGATTGAAGGCCTAACAGATGAGTTCGAGGAGCTGGAATTTCTAAGCACAATCAATGTTGGTCTGACGACAGTTGCCCACCTGCCAAAGCTAAAGAAACTCAAAAAGGTGGGAGATTTTTTTTATTTATTTCTTAATTAAACCACTGTAAAGCATCAGACTGCAGTAGTTTTGCATAGTTTGATGGTTTCTATTTGGCCAATAGCTTGAACTCAGCGATAACCGGATCTCAGGAGGGCTAGAAGTTCTGGCGGATAAGTGTCCGAACCTCACACATCTGAACCTCAGCGGCAACAAGATCAAAGACCTCAGCACAATAGAACCATTGGTGAGTTATTCTATCATATTTTTCCCCCCCAAAAAAACTATAACATCTATTTCCTTCAATATTACAATTTCTTTTATGTGAGAATAGTTAAAAAAATGAAAGTACTATAATATTCATAATACATTTAAGTATTATACTACAAACTGACCAAAAGAAAGAAAAAAGTAAGCGTATTGCCCTGAATTCGAAGACGTAATTATGATGATCTGCTGAAGGAATAAGTATCTATGCTCTTAAAATATAAACTGATACTGATATTGAACTGATACAACGTTAGTATGGATCGTACCAGCTTCTGTTACTTTTTTTATACTGTAGAATTTTAGAAACGGCTTGACCTTCGCAGCATCTGCTGCAGACCCAGCAGATTCTGCAACTGCTTTTTTCCCACTGCCATCAGATGGCTGAACTGTTGAAAAAACTCTTAATCAAGATAACACCAAACCCTAAAGAACTCAACTAAAAAAATTTTACTGCATTTTTGCTCCATATATATATTTGTTGTTGCACTGCTCAGAATTTCCATATCAATGCGTTTGGCACCATGTTTTTCCTCCCACACTTTTTACATTCGATCATTTCTGCACCTTATGAAATGGAAATGTTAATTTCACTGCTAAGCTGCTTCTTGTTTGCTGTCTGAAAGCTGTGCAAATAAAATTTTGTTTTTTATGCACTCTGTGTATACAAAATGACAATAAAAGTCTGCTTAAGTCTAATCAAGTAATATCCATAAGACCCGGAACAAAAGTCAACAACAAAAGTTGTGAAAACAACTGAGCCATGTGAAATTATTCAATGACTTACAGACATTTTTAACAGAAATAGGGTTTTTCTATTAGCATGAAAATATCAGAAATGCAGGCTGATAAATATATTATTTTTTTGGGCTAATATCAGACCAATATCTGACATTATTATTGGGACATCCCTATTTTAAAGGACATAGAACCCAGCAATTGTTGTAAATGGGATTTTCAGCTTGCTGAACTGTTAATTAAATATTCTATTTTCTGTTGGCAGAAAGAATTGGGGTCCCTGAAAAGTCTAGATCTGTTTAACTGTGAAGTAACAAATCTGAACGAGTACAGAGACAACGTGTTCAAGCTCCTACCGCAGCTCACGTACCTGGACGGCTACGACAAAGACGACAAAGAGGCTCCTGACTCCGACGCTGAGGTTTACGCTGAGGGCTTGGATGATGAAGAGGAAGATGAAGATGGTAGGTGTGAAGCTGCATAAGTGCCCTCTAAGGTTTTAAGTTAAACTTGAACATTTGGGTAATGAGCTGCATTTACCCACATGTAGATGAGGAAGAGTACGATGAAGACGCTCCGCCTGGAGACGAGGATGATGAAGAAGGAGAGGATGATGAAGAGGAGAATGAAGAAGAGGAGGAAGAGGACCTGAGTGGGGAGGTTGGCAACAATAATTACAATTTTTATTCTGTGTATAATATTTTGATGAAATCACCCTGATCTTTCACTCTCATCTTTCAATGAAGGAAGAAGAAGAGGAGGACTTGAATGACAAAGAGGTGTACGATGAAGACGATGAAGGTGAGTAATGATGGTGGCAGTCGATAAACCTCAATCAACCCCATGGATTCATTTAGAAGCTATTCTCTGTGCATGTTCCACTACAACTTCGTACTTTGGGGAAAATGTTTTTGCACTGCTTTGGTTTTTTGAGAACAAACAGGACAGAGTTTCGAAAATCTTTCTTCCTAAATATTTCTGTTAATGTCAACAGAAGAAGTATTTCTAGCTAAAATAAAGTTAAAATACCCAGCCTATGGAAGTGGAGTAAAATGTTAACATTTGGAAGGTTCATGTGAGTATATTGGAGTTATTACAAATGTGTGATGAGATTGTTAGTATGGAAATGCCCACTGTTCTATGGCAGTAGGGTTTTGCATCAGCAGAAGTGCCCCCCTCCCTTCTGCAGATTTCTTGTGACATTAGAGGTATTGCGGAGGATTTTTCTGAATTTTTGAATAGACCCACGCTCTCCACTTTAAAAAAAGACACAGAAAGCCTATTGAACTTGTGTGAGAGCATGCGCGGCCCATTTCTCCTTGTGCATGCTCTGTTTAAAAGCTCATACAAGCTTACTGTGTCTGAATGTCCACCCTAACCCCTCAATCACTATATAGAGCTTGGACTATATAGTGAACTCGGATAACTGACTGTTCAGATAGATAATCACACTATCGGGTAGTGACAGCCAATGGCAACAGCGGCCCGCTGTAACAGCAAATCCCATATTGCCTTGCAAGGAGAGCTCTCTGTGCAAAGCATTCTGGGATACATCTGCCTCTTCTGAGGCCTTTCTTTCCTTCCCATACACTTCCCAGACACTTTTTCCTCTTACGACCCTCGGCCATTTTCAAAGAACCGCGGTGAGAAAGGTGGGCTTCAATGACTGTCTGAAACTGTAGCTCACCACAGATAGATGCCTGGAAGGGCCCATGTGCAAAAAAAGATGGCTAACGGGACGAGCACTTAGGGCGGTCTTACGTAAACATATCACCAGAATGATTGACAGTTAGGAGGACCACTTATTTAGATGAATCTCTATACCTTTTAAAGTTACTGCTCTGAATGTCTGGTGGTTTTGGGAACTGCCGGCTAATAAACCGCTCTGTTCATTAATGCTAGCTCTGATGTCAACATTAAAACCTGCTATGAATTTAATGCAATGTATTCAGAAAGTATTAGTGGTTTGTTTTATGTTTGTCTTATTATGAAAGCCAATTTTTTTTGTTTTTGCAGAAGAAGAGCGAGGTCAGAAGAGAAAACGGGAACAGGATGAAGAAGGGGAGGATGATGAAGATGACTGAGAGTCTGACGGAAGCTAAATTGTGATCCGTTTTAAACTTGTATCTTCTGGTCACTTCCTTACAAACCCACAAATATTTTCCCTTGGTTTAATATTGCAGTATGAGTGTTTTGCTTTGTTTGTTTTGTTTATCTGATTATTGGCCAGTCAGGTTGACGGGGTGACTCCCCGTTCCTCTTATAACCCCCATGCTCCAGTCTTTACAGTCCACTTTTACCCACTTTGTGGACAACTGTTTTGTAATATTAAATAATAGCAGAGAGAAAATCTTTTTGAAAAGGAAAACCATTTTGTTTTCTCACCATTTGTGTAAAACAAGATAGAGATTAGTTATGCATTTTAAAAAGCTCCCCCTTCAAAAACAAAATTGAAAAAAAAAAGAATGCATGTCTTTTACATTTTAAAGTCAACAACTGGATTTCATGTATGGCTGTTCTCTCCTCGTCCTAGATTTATTGTTTTGCATCATCATTTTTTTTTTGTCCTTATAATGTAAGTTATGTATTTGTAGTGTCACCAGTAAGCCAATACTCTCTGCTGTCCTGGTCTGAAACCTTTTGTCTGAACATGCACAGTGTGACCCTGGCAGGGCTTTTTTTAAATGAAAAAAACAAAAACAAAAAAACAACAAATTATGGCACCAACATGTCTGCCTTTGTCAAAGCCGCTTCTCCTCCTGAATCCCTCAGCTTTGATAGTTCGGAAATTACGTGTTCTTGTAAATAATGACCAAATCTATTTTTTTGTATTCTCTTTGACGACGGCAGACATTGAACAGACAACTGAGTTAAAACTATGAATTGTAATAAGAACTTAAATATGTATGCTGCTTTATCTAAAATACGCAGTGTGAAATTTCTTGGATTTGAACTTTGTATGCATAATCTTTCCATGAAAAGACAATGTTTGACATCAGAACCTTTTTGCTTTTTATTTCATTGGTTATGTTTTAGTACTCAAAGACGACCATGTTTGAGCTGATGGCGGTAGTATAGAGAAGTAATTGGTGTTAATTGAAAGCTACAATTGCACTCTGTATGCATTTAAATGTTATTTCAAAGTGTATAAATATTGGAACACCGTAAATGATTTGGACTTTGTTTGCTCTTGCAAATGCAATGGTCAGATTGGCCTACCTCTGAAATATTTCATTCAGATAAAATCAGTGTCTTCAAATTTAGTTTCTTTTCTCTCCCACTCACTTCAATAAATCCTTTTTATATAATTTGTCTGTAGTTTGTGCTTATTTTTACACACTAAAACTGCAGAATCTGAATGCTGTTCCTAAAGTCCAAAAATATGAAATATGCTCTCAGAATAACCCAGGTCTTCAAGGATGCATGCTGTTTACTCAGTGCAACCTTAAAGTCTAGCACAACCTGCTTTTTCATAATTGTTGCATTCTAGAGCAGTGAATCTGTTATGAAGACAAAGTTTATTACAGACACCCACTAAAATAAATTGATCTTCACCTGTTTATTAAATTAAATCTTCCATACAGTAATTACAGTGAGGAAAATAAGCATTTGACCACCCTGCTCCTTTGCAAGTTGTCCCACTTCATGGAGGCGCCTAAAATTCTCATCATAGGAACATGTCCACTGGGACCACCGTTTGGACGTCATGGTTTGAAATAATGCATTGCACGTAAGGTTCCGCTGCTTAAACCAGCACGTTAAGGCCCGTCTAAAGTTTTCCAATGATTGTTTGGATGATCCAGAGGAGTCATGGCAGAAAGTCATGCGGTCAGATGAGACTAAAATACAAGTTTTTGGTTATAATTCCACTAACTGTGTTTGGAGGAAGAAGAATGATGAGTACCTTATTAAAAAAAACATCCCTAGTGTGAAGCATGGGGGTAAAGGCTTCATGTTTTGGGGGTGTTTTTCTGCACATGGGACAGGGCGACTACACCGTATTAAGGAAGACCGGGGCCAGGTATTGTGAGATTTTTGGAAACAACCTCCTTCCCTCAGTTAGAGCACTGAAGATGGGTGGAGGCTGGGTCTTCCAACATGACAATAACCCGAAGCACACAGCCAGGATAACCAAGGACTGGCTCTGTAAGAGTCCATATTGAGGTTCTGTCATGGCTTAGCCAGTCTGCAGACCTAAAAGCAATAGAGAATCATTGGAGGGAGCTCAAACTCTGTGTTTCTCAGTGACAGCCCAGAAACCTGACTGATCTAAAGAAGATCTTTGTGGAGGAGTGGGCCAAAATCCCTCTTGCAGTGTGTGCAAACCTGATGGAAAAACTACAGGAAACATTTGACCTCTGTAATTGCAAACAAAGGCTACTGTACCAAATATTAACACTAATTTTCTCAGGTGTTCAAATAATTATTTGCAGCTTTATCATAAATAGTTTTAAAAATCCTATATTACGATTTAGATTAGATTCAGATTTTATTAGAAAAAAACAACCTTTAGTAGTAGTTGTACTTTACCATACTTTTTACACAAATAATGTATCAGTGCTAGAGCACACTTATACTCTGCCCACCACAAGTTACTTCTGAAATCGGGTGAACATACAGTAAATGGTAGAAATCTCGCTGGATGTTTCCTATACGGATAACCTACTGTAAAGATTAAATTGAGTCAACACTGAAAATTATATTTTGTTACTTCTGCACATATTCATTTTGCAATCATTTTATTAATTTGTTTTTATCTTATACTTTGAAACACCAGAATTTATTCCTAACTGTCTGATTACATCATGTTAAACATTACACTACAAAAACTACTCTAAAAAAAGCTAATAAATAAGATCTACCAATGCAATGAGTAATTTTGCTTTTAAAATAATATTATATATTATGCAATGGGAATAGGATAATTGGTTTTTTTCTTCATTTAAATAATCGTATTCTATTGGTAAATTATCTTATCTTCCCAAATCAAGGGAACATGTACTAATATCAAGAAGAAGTAACTGACTTGAATTAAAATTTTTGTAGTGTAAATTTGATGAAAGCAGCCAGAAATAACTTAGTACTTGAGTAACCATTTTAAAACATACTTTTGTATTTAGTTTTTTTTTTTTTTTTAGTAATATCTTAGATAGATTCAACCTTTTCTTGAGTAAACATATTGGCGCAGAGTGTTTCTTTCTTGAGTCATTATTTGGGTTTTCTCCTTATCTCTGTTTATAACATAGGGAACAGTAGCAACCTGTGAATAAAAGGATATGAAAACTCGTTGAAAACCATGTGCTTTAGGATCCTGCTTGTACTGCTGACACCCATCAAAAACCGCAGAAAAGCACTCGTTGCTGCCCATCAGCTGACTTTTAAGCCATTTTAAAATGAGGTGAAACTCAGTATTCAGTCAGGTTATTTGAGAGGTAGTTGTACCAACTACATGTAGACAGTAAAAAGCTCTGGAAGTTGCATCTCAGGGTTTGCAGAATGCCGTTTGTGTGTTAACTGGTAGATAGAACAACAACAAAAGGAGAGATGTTTAGCCATTAAGCAGAATACCAAGTACAGCCTTTCAGCACAAACACCTCACACAAGAGGTGCATGGTTTTGGGTTATTTTGCAGCAGCGAGACCTTGGCATCTTCAGTCTGTCAGTAAGACTGATTTCTTCTCTTGACAAAGGAATTCTGGACTATTGAAGATCAAACGTCCAACAACCGATCCTTTGTTAATAAAAGGAGGATCTGCCCCTCAAAAAAGTGACATCTGATGAAATCAAACAAATACAATGGTTCTAGATGCTGCTGAATTACATGGTTTCCTTTAACACACAAAACCTTTGTGTTTTGGCTTCAACTTTGTGTAAAACACATTTTAGGACACATCTGTTGCATCTTTGTTTGTGCTGAACATTTCCATGTTTATGTCAAATCGAAGGAAAAATCTGGAAAGGTTTCCACTTGTCTGGGATTTTTTAAATGAGGAGTTAGACGGATTCTAAGTTGCACAGATTTAAGCTGCAATGTAAAACCAACAGACCAAAGCGGAGCCACATTTAATTGATTTGTTGAAAAGATTCAGGTTCAATGCATTTAACAAGATGATCAAATTCCACATACCATTCAGCTACTTTCTCAGAACTTCCTGTCTTCTCTTTTCAACATCTGCCACTTTGCAGCCTTTTTAACATCCTCTAATGATACATATTCATCATATTCTAATATCTACGGTTTGTACATTCTTGGTCTACTGATGGCTCATCCTGGAGAGTTAAACTTTATATTTTTACAAGGGTGTGATGAGAAAAACATGAAGTGCTTGATTTTAAACCTGCCTGTTATACTTTTCTATCATATAGTCCATTCTTCTTTTCCTACAGGAAGCAGAATCAAAGACAAAAAAGGATGCATGTAGTTCAGCCAGCCGAAAAAAACCCAGCTGTTAAAATCCTTCTAATCAAGTTTAATTTCAGCGGCTTCCTAAAGCTTTGAATCGAGGCACTTAAACTGCTATTTAGTCAAAATTTGATGATACTTGTGAAATAGAAGCGGATGAAGTTACCTCTTTAAATGAAATAGCACAGCAAGCATGTCCCCGCTATAGTCTTAAGATTAAGTAAAATGTGAAAGTATGCTTATTATTATTTGCTTTGTTAGCGATACTTTATAACATCATACTTCACATGAAGTCATTTTAAAATCAAAGAAGTAAAACTATTCAGGGTGCTGCTCCGTACATATTTTGCACCGATTCAGTCAAACACATTCTGCATGATCTAGACAGCTTCACTATTATTAATTGTGCCACATTATATACAAAAAAGGATTAACAAGTAGGCAAGTTCTTAGCAAAGAGGTTAGATGTGTCAAATAAATAGAAGTAAATGTAAATCAGCCCTGAATCTTTACAATGGCCCCTTGAAGAGCAGCTAAAATCCCTCCCTTTATTCACCCTACTTGAATAATACACAAGTCTACCATTTGTAATACCTTCTACTTTCACACTTTTTAACTACAAGAGTCAACAATCTGCTCTTCTTGGGGAAAAGACTGGATTTGTTTATGTTAGTGTTGAAGGTGTTTTATAGATAAGGCCAGCAGGGGAAGGAAAGCAGTTACAAGATAAGCAGCTTTCTAGGGGAAAATACTAAACAAAAAAGGATCCATGTCTTAAATAGTCGTCTTCACCTGACAGGTGTAAAACTACTTCACCTCTGTTATTCTGGGATGGTGCTGCAGCTCACTGCAAACAGCAAAGCCTGGGGGAAGATAGTGGGAGTCTGTCTTTCGATTATCTAGTTCTGCCTCTGTGGAAAATAATAATGCATGGGATTTAGTCAGTAATGCAGGATAAGTTAAGGGTCCTTTTTGCATTTCAGCAAGGCATTTCCACATGGAGAAAAGGTCCTGAATGACATAAATACTTATGTGCTCAGGTTGAAAATATGCTGTTCCACTATATACTGATTAAAGAGCATCTCCCCAACCAAAAAAATAAAAAGAAAAGAAATGCCAGAAAATGCAGTTATTTCTTTCCTATCATCGATCACATTTTACCTGATAATCCCTGAACTGCCTCTTCTTTAACATAATAATAATAAATACTAGTAAAAGGATCTAATAGTTGCATCGCTTACAATGTTATCCAACAGTTTTTATATTTTACTGCCTGCAGAGCAGCAAAAATGTTGACATTTAAAAAAAAAAAAAGGAAGATGGTGGGACTCAGAAGCTATCAGGAGGTCAGAACTGGGAGAAGAGGAAGCATGTTTGCCAGTCCAGGAGGCTTTGAGGTCAGACATCTTTAGGGCTAACATTTTTCAGGTTGTTGAGCTCCAGCTCCAACTGCCGTATTCGCACGTCCTTTGTGGTCAGCTCCTCCTTCAGCCGTCGTAGCTCATCCTGCTGCCGAAAGAACATCCGTAGGAGCTATGTAAAGGAATTACACAAAAAAACAAAAAAAAACAGGAACTCAATCATTAGATACCTCTGTGGGGAACAACATCCCAATCTTAGAGACAAGCAGCCTTCACATCAGTGCTTATTGTGATGTTCATGAGCTCTTCCAATGCAAACTCTTTCCTAAACTGAGAAACCACCTGACCTTCTGAGATCCATGGACCGCGACATCTCAGAGCCATTTAAGCTTTTTTTCTCCTTTATGTAGCTGAAAACAGATATTGTTAAAGTTTAGGCTGGTGGCTTCGTTCATGCAGATTCAGACTCACACACCTCATTCTCTGTCCTGGGTGGTACATTCTCCAGTAGGTCGATCCCATTGACAACCATACTCTTCTTCTCCTTCACTGGGGCCTTAAAAACTAACTGGTTTGGTCTGTGATAACCGTCTTTCAGTGACATCAGCACTGGGTCTGGTGGAAACAAAGATGAGGGAATAAGCATGTGAAAAACAGGAGACATGAATTCCAAAAAAGTTTAAAAAAAGCAATACAATCCACTGGACTTTTTTTTCCAAGTTTGAAGACATTTTGTTTCCCATCCAGGAAGCTTTTTCAATTCAAAATGTCAGAAATAGCATTGAGTTCAAGGCTCTTATACAGTAGCCCAGCAAAGCCTTTAGAAAACATGTAAAATGAAACAGACGAATGTCTGTCCACCCCTTTGGAATGCATTGCCCCATACCTGTCTATGTCTCTGAAAGGGACATAGACAGCCCTTATTTCGCTCTTGATAGCCCTTAAATTACTGCACTGGATTCCTCTTTGTCAAATGATAGAAATTAAATATTGCTCATGGAGTTACAAGCACTGAATAATCTGAGGACATAAACATACTTCAGATTCGCTGGCCTAGTATGAGTAATGTAGACCCCTCAGTTTAACAGAGACATCATTACTCTGTGTTCAACTGCTGTTTCACTGCAAAAATGATCTACAAATAAACAGAAATTTCTTAAATTAAGTATATTTACCCTTAATTTCAATGGGCAAAAAAGATGATCTGCCAACAGAATTATTACTTTTATGATGCACTTTTATGATAAGTAATAATGCACTTAACATAAGACAAAGCAGTATTTTTTGTTATTTCAAATGTAAATTGTCTTGTTCTATTGACAAAGTGTCTTGATTACCTCCTCAATTCAAGAACAAATGCACTTATTTTAAGAAAAAAATGACATTTAGATTAAAATGTTTTGCCGTGTTTTATTATATACATAACATTTTACTTTTTCTACGTGATAATTTCTCAGGTTTTTTAAAATTATATGATGCTTTCATGTTACGCATAATTAGTGTTTTTTTTATGGGATTACCATGTCAATGTATGCTGCTGAACATATACACTTACCTTTCATTCCTAAAACAGGATGTTTTAGTCACTCATGTAATGTTACTGATAAAGTGTTGAATATAGTCTTTGTATATTTAGAAGATAAAAGTGGATCTAAGTGAAGATCTCATTGGCTACTTCTAGATCCAAAGAGATTTATATGAGGAGTCCTCATTTTTCAAATAACTCACAATGCAAACTCTTTGGTTTCTGTTTTACTTTTTTTATAATATGGATTGTATAACAAAACAGTTGAGTAATTAGAGAAAGCTTATCCAGCTTCTATTTTTTGGCTGCATAGGCATTTGCTTCTGCTGAGACATCCCTCACCAGGGTGGTATTTAGAGTCAAGCAGAAAGGTTTAACTTTCACTGACATAAATGAGAAAAAAAAGGACTCCAGCAGTTCACAGTCTGACATTAATACAGGAAAATACCTGACAAATAAAGCTAAGCACCCAGAAGGAATTATTTTGGTCTTGTTTTTGTTTTATGTAATTTGATCCACATGCAAATTATGTTTTTAAGTTGCAAAATATAAAGAGAACAAGGTCATAAGTCATGACAAGTGGGGCTCCAGTGTTATCAGGAAATCACTGAGGCATCCAAAAGCCAAAAAACATTCAGCCATATATTTTAGAGCATTACCATTACTAGAGTCTAAAAGCTGTTTCATCTGTGCTATGCATTAGAGCTGGCTTGTAGGGAGTACAATGGAATAGGCAGGAATCTACCTTACCCTAATTTACCTTACCTTATTTTACCTTACCTTACTAGTTCTTGAGAGAATTGATATGAGGTGCTGGTTTCAGAAAATAAAACAAATCATACAAGCTTTTAAGCATAACCTACTATGGTGATACAGCTATCTAAGAAGTGGACCAGTACTGACAGATCAATCCTGCAGCACACTGCAAAAACATTTAAGTAAGTTTATTTTTCTTAAAATAAGAGCCTTTTATCTTGAATTAAGCAGTTAAGTGATACAGTTTGCTAATGGAATAAGGCAATTTACATTTAAAATAATAAAAAAAACAACTGCAGTCTCTTATTTGAAGTGCATAATATCTAATTATCTTATTTTATACTTATTTTAAGAGAAAAATACTCTTTCCCTTGGCAGATCATCATATTTACCTTCTCAAATTAAGGGTAAATACACTTAATTTAAGACATTTTTACTAATTTTTAGATCTTTTTTGAAGTGTACAGCTAATGCAACTTGTGCTGAGAGCTAACACTAGAAGAAATGACTGGATGATGTGCAGTTGAATGATTTGTGGTTTTTAAATGCAACTTCTGGATTAATGTACACATCTTTGATATATTTTTATAGTGAGGTTTTCTAAAAATGCACATCAGACTTCAGCTCAGGCTGCAACATGGTGGTAGTTTCAAACACTATAGATAGAGTCCAAGGAAAGAGCACACATCAGAGACAGACATTTTTTGTAAGAAGTTTTTTCTTCTTTTTTTATTAGAAATAAGCCTGAAACACAAGAATTAAATCTCTTGACCTCGGGACTGTTTTATGATTTGCAGATATTTTGTTTATAATAAAAAGGTGTGAAGCAGGGCTTATGTGTTTTGTTTACCTCTATCAATCCCACTCAGCCACTCGCTGGCAGACAAGGCTGGTTCAGTCCCGGCTGTCATTGGGTAGATGTCCTCCTGGTATGTATCTGACTGTTGACACACATTTTCAGATGCTTTAACATTTGGTTTATCTTACTTATTTGCAAAACATTTGACACAGAGCATAGTCTTTTGATATAGATTAAATGCTTTTCACAGTTTCACCACAAGTCCTACTGGAGTGCAAATAAAAAAAATATAATTTCTTAGTTTTCACCTAGCTATTTTGTGTACTTTTATAAACTTTTAAATTTTTTCCCCACTATATCTGGTCTGTCACTTCTCTAAAATTAAAAAAAGAAACTTAAAAACTATTCTTCTTAAGTCAAAGTGAAGACACCTTTATACATTGCTGACATGTTTTAAGTTTAGCTGTGATTTAAAAAAATATGTATTTTCTATTTCAACATTAAGTCGGTATTTACTAAAAACAAGCATCGTGTCACATTAATGTGAAGAGATTGTAATCATCATTGCACATTTAAGACCTTTTTACACAATGATTTGTAAAACGTGTACCTGAAGATAGAAATTTGATCGTAGCATATGTGAATTCGACTCCTCTGAGCCCCATTGTTTTTAGAGCCCTCTTTCACTGCACCAACAACAGTGATTCCTTTTTTTTGGTATGTTTCTGCAAGCTTTGCACATCTCAGCACCCAAACCTGGATTTATTCTTCCTTTAAAAATAGCTGAACTCGGCAAGATTTGGCAAAGGGTGTCAAGTTTCAAAGTGTTGCCTCAGATTAAGGACTGTATGGCGTTTGACTGGTGGGTTGTGAAATATGAATGTGCTTCAATCTTTCTCTGGTTGCTAGTTTTGTTTTGCATGTAAAATTTTGGTCTCATCTGACTAGAGCAAATTTTTGCCATGACCTCTACATGCCTTATGGCAAACTTCTAACCACTTTTTGGCTTTTTTTTTTTTTTTTAGAAAACAGCTTGCATCTTTATCTAACATTCCCTCAAAGTGCATGTAAATATTTATAATTTAGTATCTTTAATGCAAATCTGCTGTTCCTTGGTCTTTATGATGCTGCACTAACGTTACATAAAAAAAAAAACAAAAAAAAACAGCACTTCAGAACAGGCGTATTTATGTTTATAATAACAAAACATCAAATCAGGTCTTTTTGCCAAATGTTCAGTTACGGATCACTTACTCTTCTTGGCACAATCATAGAAATTGGTTCGATCATGCCCTTGAGAGTGACTAGTTTGTAGAAGCGGAATACCTCACAGGCTGCCACATCCAGCCCGTGCTTTGGCATCACACCTGCAAGAAAGAACAAACGACTGCAGTAAAATTATTTGCATTCATAAATAGCTACAAACATCTGATGACTTACCCAGTCCTTTCTGTGGGGCTGGGGAGCGAAACTCCATTAGATACTGGATGTAGGGCTTCTCTGTAGTGATTTCAAAGTAACGGATGTTGCCATCCCCCTGAAAAAAATCCCACCTCAAGTATTACATTTTTAATATTTACTGTCTCCAACCAGGGCATACATCTTATATGTAAAAAAGGGTAAGTAGAAGTTGAATGTTATAAATGTGTTTAAATTCCCCATTAGGCTAAAACAAAAGTAACCTCAAATCTAACAGATCAACTTGAAAAAAGTCTGAGGCAGAATATCTACCATAATATCATAGAAGATGCAGATACAAAAGGTTTCCTCAAACACCCAGCAGATGGGTAAAAAACATGGCTTTATTGGATATCTATGGTAAATATACATTTCATAGCACTAGTACATCATAGCTGTTGCATACTGTGCACCATTGATCCCAGTTATTGGTCTTTATAGTAGATATAAAAAAATCACTGCAGAAAAGACGAAACCTTTGTCTGTATTTTGGCCCATTCTTCCTGATGAAACTATTAAAACTGAGTCAAGTGTCTAGACATCTTTTTACCTTGCCTGCCAGGTACAGCATGTGTGTGTCAGCATCATAGAAGGGAAATAACATTCCTGAGAGGCCATCTATGTCCTCCTCCACGATAGGCATGGACAAATCTTCCTGAAAAGACAAACACAGAAAGCATTAAACACCCACCTTCTGCTTCCACTGGGCTGCTATGGGTGGGGGGCATACAGACGCACTGCCTAACCTGATCCCAGAAAGCTATCTGCCGGGTGTTCCAGCGAGAAACCCCCGTGGTTAGGAGCCGCTTCATGTTCCCCAGGAACACCACTCGATTTACTCGATGGTTCTTGTAACTTGCTTGCTGGTGGGAGGGGGACACGATGGAGAGAAACGTTAATATAAAATGCAGCTACAAAAAAAAAAGGCCTTAAATGTGACAAAATGTGTTTTTAAATGTTAGTATTACTCAAAATGGAGTTAACATAAAAACTCTGAGAGTAATGTTTCATAGCCTCAGTAGATGAAATCCGTGATCCTTTCTGCCTATGCTGCCTTATATTTGATGCCCTAAGAGAGATTTAGAAGGCACATGGTTTTTATCAAAAGCCATTTTTAATTCAGTTTGATTTGATAGCAAAGTAAAAATACTGGGGCTGTTTAAAGGCAAATTAAATTTATGACGTTAAGGAAGAGAGGAGTATATTTTTCAACATAAAATATACTAAGGAGCTTTTTCAGCAGCAAGGAGCAAAGTTAGCCCTTTTATATTTGATTCCCTCATTTCTCACTATATTGGCACACTCATACTAAATGTTGCTGCATGCTAATGTTAAGTATCTATAATTTTATCACCATCTAAATGACACGACTATAATGACTGTTTTGGGTTAAATGGCAAAAATGAAGATGAGAGACAGAAAATAACAAGGAATGTTTAAATAACACCATTTAAACAGGGAATTTATGTATTTATTGGTACTTCCTTTACTAAAAGGATTTATTCTTTCGGGGTGAATTAGGTTAAGGAGACTGGGTTTACAAAAAAAAAAGATCTGAATATAAATATACATACATTATTTTATTTATTTGTAATTATTTAAGTTGGAGATGGTTGAAAAAAAGTCACCTGAAGGACTCTCCCAGAGCGCGGCTCAATAACTCTCAGCTTCTTGTCTTTGCAGCTTGTTGCTAGCAGGCTGCCGTCTGTGTTAAAGGACATACTTAAGATGACATCAGTGTGGCAGTCGATCATTTTCACTGGCTCTCCGGTCTCCAGGTTCCAGATCAGGATCTGACACATCAGAAAGAGTTACTACAGTATTTCTGGTATTCCATTGAAATCTGGGCATTCATCCAATGTGGGAGAATTGATATACCTTATAGTCATAGCCAGCACTGAAGAGGATGCCACTGGTGGTTGGATGCCACTCAATGAGACCCACTCGTCTGCTGTGACCATACAGCTCCAGGACCGCCTCAGTCATGTTGCGCCTCAACCCCCCTTCTGGGATCTCCCATACTCGAACCTGCCAAACACCAGAGAAGATACACTCTTTGGTGAGTTTATTAGGTAAATATGTTTAAGAGGCATCAAGATGTGGAAAAAACAAACAAACTACAATGCAGCAATAGAGTTGATTTCTTCCCGCTATCATCTCATTCCTCATCGCCATGCAGGAGACTAAGATATCTCGCCTTATCAGCCAGGCCAACAATAACAACTCCCCTTTTCAGAGGCATAGGCCAGTATCGAGTATTGCAGGTTACAACGACCTGAAGGACTCTCCTTTACTGGGGTCGACCTGTTCCTCCAGTTCAATTTGTATGTTTTCTAGGCCAAAACAAGTCTTTGTTGGGCTACTCTATAAAGCTTCGAACTCAACGTTTAATCCCGACATTTTGAATTGAAAAAGCTTCCTGGATGGAAAGCGAAACATCTTCAAACTTGGAAAACAAAATCCAGTATTATTTTTTTTTGTACTTTTTAAAAATTTGATGAAGGTCACACTATTTATTAGATTAAGAAAGAAAGCATGATTCAGGGGAATCTAAGCATTACGCGGTTTTCATTCTAGTCTGATTATTTCAGAAATCGCTGATATTGGGATTTACACAAACATCTATGTCCTGTTTACATGGATTAATCTGAAACAGACAGGATGAGTGGTGAGCAGCAGTTGCATTGATGGAAAATGTCTTGTTGATATTGGAGGTCAGAGGAAAATAATATTCAAAGCTAAGAATTTGGTTTAAAGAGCATATAAAACAAGGGTTCATCCTGGCTACTACCAACAGTTCAAGCTGGTGGTGATGTAATGTTGTGGATCATCCCTTCATGACCACAGTGTGCTCTGATGACAGTTCCCAGAAAGATAATACACCATTTCCCAAAGCTCATTTCACTGTAATCAGATCCCCTTTACAGTCTTCAGAACTCAATCAAGTAGGACACCATTGACATGTGGTGGAAAAAGGAGATTCAAATCATGGATGATCAACCGAGAAATCTGCAGTAACTTTTATTGCTGTCAAAATGAACCTGAATATCTGAAGAACTTTTCTGCTCCTTGTTAAATCTAGGCCACGCTGTTCAGAAGTCACAAGGATGCACTATCAAGATGTGCCATTTTAAGTGGCTATTGAGAGTGAATAATATACAGAAAAAGCTAAAGGAGGATGCTATGTCATGCTTTAAACTCTTACAGTGTAACTATGACCTTAAAATGAATTGAAATCTCATGGCTGGAGATCCATCTGATCAAAAGTGGCACAAGCTATCACTGTAGCCTACTGCTTCAGGATTACACTGGATTACTGAAAGCACATTAGGCTATGCTGTGGATCAGATGAGATTATAATTCAACAAGTGAAAGTATTACACAAAAACAGAGTGACTGTCTTTACTGAGCTTAAGAGACAAGGGTTACATGGGTGTAAGGGACAAATATGTCCTCGGAGGGTTTTACAATAGGAATGTAAAGGGAAGTTAAAGATTGACTGTGTTTTACAAGGGTCTAGCTTTTATTGTATTGTATAATTCTTTTACTTGCTCATATTTTAGATCTTTATTTTTTAATACTCCCGAGGGTAAAAAAAAAACCCTGAAACACAGGTTGACTTAAGATTTATTTTTATTCTTGTTAATTTCTGCTTTATAGAATAAAATCATGGAAAATGTTTGTAAATAACAGAGGTTGTCACTGACTCACCGAAGTGTCCTCTGAGCACGAGGCTATGATGTTTTCAAAGAAGGGATTCCATTTGATATCCAGCACGTTGCCCTGGTGGCCACACACCTTCGGGTAATGAGAGTCCAGACGGCCAGCCTGACAAAAAAAAAAGAACAGATTTCAATGAGTTAATATTTACTCTCTTTGTCCTAAAACCAAAAGTTTTCAATAAAAAAAGAGGTTAAAATATATGTCAGTACAAATACTGTTTTGGGATGTCTGCAATTAATAAATATAAAGTAAAATCCACGGCAGCAAAAGAAGACAGGATTCATAGCAGAAGAAGTGAAAATAACATTTTTTAAATCGCATAGACCATTAAGTAAGAAGAAAAAAGAAAACATTTGTTTCAATAAAAAAATAAATAAAGAAATAAATCTTTGTACTGATCAAAACACAAATAAAACATAAAACCATTTAAATGACTCTGTGGATTTGCTTAATAAAACTTGGACACAATGTGTGTTTTTGAGGCAGTTTGTTGTTATTGCAATGACTTGGTGAGTCCACAGAGGGGCACTGGCTCATAGCACCCAATAACAGACAGCTTTCAGAAACCATTTTGCTTTTTTATGATTGTTTAACTTTATCTCAGTCCACTGACCTAGTTTTTTTATTTCCTCAGAGATCCATGTTTCTGTCATACGATGTTCTAATTCTGCAAAATGCAGCATGTTTGCATGCATTCAATGAACACTCTACATACAAATCACCTCTGTTTACATCTGTGGTTAATGATATGTTGAGTATTGAAAAGTCATATGGTTCTAGAGCTAATTAAACACATTTTCACTAATTCCCAAACCTAGAAAAAGTCTTGTGCAAAAGAAACAATCTTTGTAAAAATATCTATGTGTCATAATAGGAGGAGAAGGCAATTAGATTTCAGTCATGACAGTTCTAGCATTTATTTCACTTCAACAAACTAAGGAATTCATACAGCACAATAGTGCTCATTGTAATGGAAAGAGAAGGGAAAATAACAAATTACATAGAACATAGTAGTTTTAAAAAGCAATATTATTCATTTACACAAGCTATAAAGGTATTTTGGAATGTTTTTACACAAACAGACAAAAAAAAACATGGAGTAATTTGCCCCCAATGACAAGAAGTATAGAAGGAATTAAGGCTTTTCAAATAGCGCTGCAGGCCACCAGTTATTTGGCGTTGTGGTCGTCATGCAGTCAAACATTTTCCTGCAAACATTATGCAGCACTAAAGATGGGAAACCTTTTTATATATTTGTAAACTTTATTTATAACAGAGAAAACCTGGAAAATCCTGCGCAAAAAGTTTTGTATAATATCTATCCAGAATTATACCACAATGATTGTTGATGGCTGGAAAGAGCATACATTCAGCATGCAGCTTTCTATGGGACTTTTAATCAAATCTTAGTAAACAGAAATTATCTTTTGTTTGTAGAATTCAAACTCTTTATAGGATGGAAAAGAAATCCATAATAAAGTTACTGTTTATATAGAATTCTGTATTTTCTTTTAAAAGAATTATTCATATTGTTTGTTTTATAACCAGTCCATCTTAAAAAACAAAAACCATATGTCTAACATTCCCAAGATATATATTTATTGGTGTCATGGTATACATTATGTCACAAAGAGCAAAATTAGAATAAATCCATGTACTGAAAAATTATTGAAATGTATAAAACAACACTATATTTGGAGGTCCTCTGTGCTTTTATAGAATTAAATAGCTTCTGTATGCCTTGAATCAATATTTTTTACACATTTAAAGTGTTTTTGAAAATGTCTTATCTGGTAAATTGTTCTAAATTGTGGCAAAATACACATATTTACCAACATTACAAAGCAGAGGAAAGTAGAACTTTTTAAGTGTGCTAAAATTTGTTTAAGTCACCAAACATCTCAGCCCTTGCCTTTAATCAGCTGCAAAGAAAAAAGAATCCTACAAACAAGCTGCACCAGAGGGCTTTAGGACTGTAATTATATTTGCTGTAGAAAAAAGGAGGGTTTTAATTCAACTACTAATCAGGAAACGGCGTGGCCATGTGTTAGACGTCAGGGTTCTTGTTCAGATCATTTCCCAGGGCTGTTATGTAACGGATGAACTTTCAGTGACGCACCAATTTCCAACTGCAATTGATTCGCAATTCCCAATAAATCTTTGTTAATGTGGACGTGCACTGCTAATCTGGGATACAGTCAAGCATATTTCAATGTTTGGAGACTCAAATGTGTGTTATGTCTATTAAATTTTTTTGTATTTTTAATAAAGTCAAGACCTGTAAGACCTACCTGTAAAGGGAACATACATTTGAAAGTAATGTAAAGCTATCTGAAAGGGGAAAACAGTTTTAAAAGTAAAATTATTATATTGTAAAGAAAGAAAATTCACACTAAAAGCAAAAACCGATGTTGAGACTGTAGAAAACATCTTGAGATAGACTATTTTGTTATTGAATAAAAGAAAGATAAAAGCCCAATTTTTATTTTTTTATTTTTTTATCAGAGTGAAAACATTTTCTGTCAAAGGTAGATTTCTCTCTCAAAACTTTTTTCTTCTCTCTCTCAAAGTCTAACCACTTCCTATTTACAGTAGAATTTTTCTCACAATGTGATAAATATGGCTGTGTTTCTATTGAAAAGTCAACAGAATTGACACAGAATAACTTCAGATATGTCTTCCATAGCATAGATTTTAGATTTATTTTTCATTTGTACAAAACAGGAAGCAGTAATAAATATTTCTGTACTTTTATGAACACTAGCATAATCTGTTAATGCTGATGCAGCTCAGCGACAAAATTGACTGATAGTGTCTCTCTCAACCAAGATGCTGACATCAACATCTTACTGTTCTTGTGGATGCGCCATTTATCGACTTTAAATAAGCTGAAACTAAATACCCTGAGTCATGTTTTTTATCGAGGTAATATGGCTATCTGTCGCGCTGCATGCTTTGTTTTTAATAAGCCTTGATGCTGATGCCGTTTCATACATGTCTGCTCCACTTTACTGTGGGAGCTAAATATCTGGATCCCTTGTGTTTCTACAATGCTGCACACAATCTTGTTTACAGTGACCTCATAGATGGACTAAATAACTACATAGAAAAATATAAAATCATCAGTTTTCATTGTAAATCTATTTATGATACAGTTGCATGTGTTGTTCTGTCAGTTACCTCTAGCTAAAAAGAAACAATGCAACAGCAACAAAAAAAAGAGTTAATAGTGTGAATTTATATAAAACTTCTCTCATTGTTTTGACCATGTTAGGATAATTATCATTGAAAATGTGTGAGTTTATTACACCTTGGCTGCCTGTTGTGTGTCAGAACTGATGTTTAAATCTAATTAAGACAGAAGAAGTTCTTTTGTTTGGGTATACAGTTATAATCTTCATTCTGTACGTGGCAAAGATTTTGGGAATGGAGTGAGAGCGGTGTCTTCATTCAAAGCAATTTTGAGTGGAGCTCAGTATACAGCAGTATGCAGGTCATTATGCAACATGTCCAATGACATCAGCACCAAAATGGAGGAGGCTGGAATAAATCCTACTATTTCTGATTGCAAGATTATAGGATGCAGATTTCCCACATGTCAACAGCTGTTGTGTAACACATTGGTTTACACACAAACTAAAAAAGGATAACACATGACTAAATATTGTGGTGGTAATATGAAATAAACAAAAAGGCTATTTGTATTCTAACTTTTTCGCCTCAAGGGCCAAATTCCAGCAATAATTTGCTTAAAATCACATTAAAAGACAGAGCAGATTTGAGCACTTTATATGAGAAAAACTAGTTCCACACACTGTAACAGCAACAAGATTGATATCAGTTAGAAAGTAACCCAGCCATCCTCATTTTCTATTCCTTTAAAAGTTCAAAATGATCTAATTTTATTTTTCATCTCTTCAATACATTTTACGCATGTATCCTTAAGCTATAGTTGTTAATCTCTTACGCCAGTATAAGGAGTTACATTAACAGCCCTGTCGGTTTCTGTCTTCACCCTGACCTTATGTGTCATTGTCTGGGTTCCAGGTGGTGACAGCGGCAGTTCCTCCGCTGATGGCTTTGACTACAGGCGAACATATGGCCGTCTCGCCAACTGTCACTGAAATATGTCAGACAGGCTCGAATCTCACCATGAACCAAACCCAACTGAGATTGGCCTGATTACCTCATGCTGAAGTAGTCTTTGGCTCTGCAATAAAAATGGAAATAAGGCACAGAAACGATGAGCAAGGAGTTTATTAAGAGTTGTATCTTTTGTTTATTTATAAAAATATTGTATTATTTTACTTGACAGCCAATAAAGGTGGTATCAAAATCTTTGAAAATGTACATTTATACTGGAATTGTACTTTTCATCCCACATACTCAAATGGATTTTTTGTGTTTTTCTTTTTTAAATAAATTAAATTTAAAAAGAGACCAGTACCTCCCTTTTGCAATAAGAACATATATGTTTTATTTTTTTCCCATAACATTTTACAAAGTGGGAACATGCAGAGGGAGAGAAGGATCTCTCTTCACTTTTTCCTGAACCGTGGCTCCTTTCTTGTCCCTTCTATTAAAGTTACCTCCCTAGGTTGTCTTTAGGGTTTAGGTAAGGGTGACCATAGTTATTTCTGTCTTTGGTGAAGACAGGAATAACTGTCTGCATATATATATATTTCTGCATATACTTTATTTAGATTATTGTTTTACTGAGAAGCCCAGTGGCGTCCCATTTTGGGTTTGTGGGACACAAAACTTAGATCTTTGTTTTTCATGGACAAAAACATTCATGTAATAATCAGGGGCAGGGAAAACCTGAATTTCTGTGCTGAATGGTAGTTTTAAAAATGTATATTTACTCAAGGCTGGATTTTTAAAATTATTATTATTATGATTTTTAATCAATAACAGATGAACTGCCAATAAACGTGTAGGTCACTCAATGCAAGGGTTTCATGGCCCATGATCGCTCTTTTTAAAGCTGTACGAGGATAAACTAGAAAATCAAAAAGAAGAAAAATATTCGTAGAGAGCAGACCTCCATCCAGCAGCAAATTTTGCACTATAGCTAAAACTCACACATGATCTGGGCCATTTTTATTTTTTTCTTTGGCATGGGGTTCACCTTTGGTAAAAATTTACTTAAAATCCTTTCATACTGTTATAAATAAGGCACAGCGTGTGTTTTTTTTGCTCTCACCTTCTTCCTGCACTCTGCTTTCTTTCTTGATCAGCAATTCGAGGCCCAATCCTAAACTGCCCCCTAAGCCCTAACCCTTAACCAACAAGTGTCACTCCGAATTAAAGTCTCACTCGGAGCTCTGGAAAGCGCCTTGCTTTAAGGTGGGGGGTATAAACAAGGTGGTGTAACCCATGTTTCCCTCCAAAAGGAAATCAGCCGTTGCTATATCAACACAGCCTCATGCGTGGCTATAGCTCTTGGCGCAGGTTGACATGCAATCAAACATTTGCCCCTTTCTTAAAAAAAAGTATACGGTCAAATAAAACTATTTGAAAGAGGACCTTCCCTTTTGGAATTAGTGACATGTTTTTTTCTTTTTCCTAAATTGTGATTTTCTTTCAGTGCCAGCTGAACTTATATTTTAAAGCACCTGTTTCCTCCTTTATCAGGTCGCCATTACAACTACTGCCAAATTCCAGAGAGCCAGCTCTGATGCAGACTTAGGCTGTGTCCGAACGTCCTCCCTAACTCCAAAATCACTTAATCGCAGTATAGAGCTGGGACTATATAGTAGACTTTATAGTGAACTCAATTAACTGACTGTTCGGACAGATGATTACTAATTTTTGCTCCCTGGTCATGTGACTCCACCTCCCCACACCATCTTTGTTATTTGTTGCAGGCTGCTTTCACAACAAATCCCATAATGCTTTGAGAGGAGTGCTCTCACAAAGCATTCCGGGATATATCTGCTCATCTAGTGACCATGGATGAGCACTACTTTTCAAGGTGCATTGTGGGAAATGTTGAGTTCACTACTTTTTTCATCAACTAGATGTTCGGACACTCATCTAAAATGGTGTAACCACTATGTATAGTGCCCTATATAGTGATTAGGGCGGATGCTCTGGCTATTCACGTTATCCTGTCCACAGACAGACAAAAACACAAACAAAAAACATTACATGCATAGCAGAGATATGAATAAAGAGATATGTCGAAGTTTGAAACTGAACTCTTATGAAGATATTAACGCATTTGCTTTTAGCAGCCTTCCTTCTGTTTTAACAAAATCGTTTTTGCGACTTCCTCCCACCCCATTCTACAACCAACATTTTCAACAGTTGAACAAAGAAACATCACCTATATTAACTTATATATTGTGAAATAATAAACCACTGTCTTCTTTGATTTACAAAACTACTTTATTCAAAGTGTAATCATTTGAAGTTCAACTGTCCATTTCAATTTCACTTTGGGTACCACCAGTAGTTTAGTTGTAAAAAAAAAAAAAAAAGGTGGATGGTGGAATTCTTTTTCTTTTTTGGAAGCATTCATAGCCTAATTGATATTTTCTATTAACCTAAACCAATATGCATGGTATGGTTGTTACATGTCAGATACGCTGGTCATTGACCTTGACTCTACAGTAGAACTGCAGTCAGTCCTGGACTGGTATGGCTATCACTGGCCCTACATAGTAAGGGTGTTGGGATCCTGAGGCTTGCCCATCAGAGGGCGCCGAGGATCCCTCCTGGGGATTTTTTTTTTTTTTTTTTATGGACTGTTCTGAGGGCGTCTGGAAGCCGCCCTTGAGGGGGGCGCTCTGTTGGGATCCTGAGGCTTGCCCATCAGAGGGCGCCAAGGATCCCTTCCTGGGGATTTTTTTGTTACTGTTGGGATCTGGGGTTATCCCCAGGAAGGGATCCTCGGCACCCTCTGACGGGAAAGCCTCAGGATCCCAACAGAGCGCCCCCCTCAACCCCAGATCCCAACAGTAACAAAAAAAATCCCCAGGAAGGGATCCTAGGTGCCCTCTGATGGGCAAGCCTCAGGATCCCAACATAGGGACAAATTTCCCACTGGGTTCAGCTTCATAATCATGGTAGGACACTTCTTTGATTTTATTTATTTTGCTCAGGCTACTCGTAAGCCCACAGCCAGGCAAATGTTGAAAAGGCAATGTTATTGTCATTACTGTTGATATATAGTAGAAATTTTACACATTCAGGAAAATTTTATGTCACAGTGGATGGTATGGGGGGATGGTCATTTTAGAAGGGGCATGCCAACCCCCTCGTCTACCCTTAACTCAAGTACTGGGTACCACTAGCTTTATGTATTTATGATCGATATTTTGGTGATATTTGCTCTAGCTTCTTGTAGGATGTTTGACTCAACTCAGGAGAAAGAATTTTACCTAGAGTCGTAAATTTGATTTTTGCTATTTACTACCAATTTATTGGCTGACTCTGAAATGAAAATGAAAGATTTCTAACATCAGTGGCTTTAGCTACGTAAATCTAGCCCATTCATTTGCTAGTTAGTATCCCTGGGTCATATCTGAGTCTAGACAATATGAGGCAGAGTCTCTTGAGTCAACAAGATGCTGGCAAGCATGTGTTTCACAAAGCCTCTTAAGATTTAACAGCTCCAGACAAAATGAGTCTCGTAAAGACAGACAACAGCGTTTCGATTAACGCGAGACCTCAGACTATTTTCTGCACTGCAGCCTCACCCTTTTTAATCTGACTGTAGCAGCCCAGTTACAGAAAATTGAAAGTGGTTTCTCTTAAAAACCTTTATACTAGAGGATCAGCAGGGTTCTTCTAATTTATAACATGAAGCTCATTATTCCCAATCTGGTTTTGAGAGATGGAGAGTAGCAAATTATATTCGAGAGTTTGAACTGCTTTGCATCTTTTTTCGCACCTTATAGGGATTGTGAAGAAGTTAGGTGATTTAAAGCAACAAAATGGTCCTTGAGATTAAAAGTGTTGTAAGAAAACTTTAAATCAATGGCTTTTAATTGCATGAAAAACATAGGCGACACGCATCAAAAATGGAAACAAGTCTCCATTAAGCAGCAGATGGGATCTCCTCTGTCCGATAAAAGTCTTCCTGACCTCTGGTTCGAAGCAAAGGGCTCCTAGAGCAGTTGATTTAAATGTCATCTCAATTTGAATCAAATAAAATAAAAAATAGCGTTAACTTTTCATTGAAGGCACAAATGAAAACTAAATCAAGTCTACTTATCCATGTTGGCTTATTTAGTTTCTCCTACTGATTACTTTAAATCTTTATAGATACTAAAATCCATGTAAAAACTGAAACATATTAAATATACATCACTTTACAATTGTTTTTCTTTTTTCGAATGTCTGATTTTAGGTTTTTGTGTCTAAAATAATACCTTTTTTTCTGTAATCAGCAGATAAAAAATAACTACATTGTTCTGTTTGCCTGTAAAAGGGAAATACTTTCCAGTTCCAGGTCAGCAAGGCCCTTCTCTGCAGTTTATGAGCAGCACAGCTTTGCCTTCATGTGGTTCGACTGGCAACACAATCCAGATAGAGCACTGGGTTCACATCTTGACTTCAAGATCTAAAGCAACCAAAATGATTTGCAAAAGTAGATCCAATCCTTGCTTTGTTTGAGTGTAAACAGCTCAGCACTCTGAGAGTTTACCATAAAGTAGCCAAAAACTTCTTAAATTTAATAGATTAACATTAAACATTTGTTTCCATTCTGGGAAAACAGTTTTCTGTTATCCCTGCCAATGGACAAGTAATAAGAGAAGTATTTGTCTTACCTGGGACAAAGGAATTACAATAAAGGAGCCGCCACCAGCGCTTTCTGTGACTACACCGAGGAACTTAGAGTTGACGGCACAGAAGTGGTTGTCATGGACGTTCTTGGTGATGGGGATGCCATCGAAGCAATGCTCCCGGTTGGCTACCTTGCCGTAAACATTTCGAAACTTGGAGCTTCGGTACGTCGGACGCCATGACATCTAAAAGGGCAGAAGAATTGACAGGGATACTTTAGTTTCCTTTGCAGCATGTGTGAAAATGCTGATTATCACTGTAAATGTTTTTTAAACAAGAGGAAAATACTACGGTCCAAAATCTAACTATATCTGTTTGGTGCTTTAATTTAGTGAAGATAGAGCCAAAGCTACCCTGTTTTGGACTAGATTTGTGTGTTGGAATAGCCCATTAAAAAAAACAGACTTTAATCTACATCAGAATCCATAAAAAGACTTGAAAATGGATGGTCACAGATGATCTCTATCCAATCTGACTGTGGAAAGTTAAGCAGTTTTGTGAAAAATAACAGACAAAAATGTGAGCCTCTAGATGTGCAAATCTGGTACAGACATACCCAAAAAACACTTTCACCTGACACTGCAACAATGCTTTTTCTACAATTTATGGACTCAATAAATCTTACCTCAGATTATCAGTTAGCAAAAACAATTTTTTAAACCAAGGATTTCTTTTCTACCACTGGAACAATCTTGATCAACTTTTCGTTGTTCTATCATTTAAAACCATATCAAAGCATCTAAAAGTTGGTAGCTGCTACATAAAAGAATTATATATCTCTGTTAAACTTAACTATATAAGTGGATTATTTTTGTTAGTTCAAAGAGTCAGTGGAAACTCACAAGGAGAAAGATGCAAAACCACAAAATATGATTCAGCTTGCATTAAAACCGCCTCTGTAGATGCAGAAAGGCTCTAGCATTGAATACTCATGAGTTACACGGAGATAGAATCTGCAATTTCTAGAGTCATATTCACATCCTCTAAACTCACTGGCACAGGGTGGGCTGGTCCATCTGTGCAGACATGATAGCAGTTTACACATCTAGTGCTGGGAAATAATTCAAACTGTGGATGGGGGTGAGACTGTTAAGGGTGAAATTCCTTCGACCAAGTTGACTACACATGCTTAATACACTAGAAAGGAAAAACTTAATACCCCCCATCAATCAAATAAATAAATAACAAAGAAATATTGACAAAACAGGCTCTGATCAGTTCCATTAAACACAGCAGACTGAATTGGGTCTTGTCATATACCTTCATGTGGAACATGCACAGCAGAAAAACACACATTGTTTACCACTTGAGCAAAACAACAGAACTGATTTTATTTGACTCAGGAAGTATTTTTTTGCTTTTGTTACCACATCAATACAGTGGTGGAGCTTTTGATGCATGCAATTAGCTTGTTAAGCCGTAGGACATTGTTGTCCTTTAACTTTTAAACCTTATTTGAGAAACTGGGGGGTTCTTGATTCTTGCAGATGCATTTCATTGTAGTTTGATCAAGTTTCTTAAACAGAATGTGTCTCTGAGCACATTTTCAGCAACTCTAGAACATTATGCTACAAAAACTGCAGGATGAGGATTTATTGCTCTAGTCAGATCAGTGGCAGCTTTGCCAGATGACATCAGGCGATCCTCTATTCAGCATTGTTCTACAGATAAGAAGGTCCGCTGCTGGTGGTGGGAGGGATGTAAGCATGCAAATAGAAACATCCTCTAACCATGCTGCTGTTGTTTTTCCAGTCTCAATGCAGAAAGAAGAATTGGCCCCCAGCTGACATCACAAGAGAGTTCTATTGCATTTCTTTAACTTCGGCCAAATATGTGGGATAAATAAGACATATCTTCAGATTAGAACCAAGCAGAAATCTTGATTAGATACTAAAAAATGCTGCATGAAACAGCTGAATTTCCACACATTCTATTCAAAGGAAAGAAATGAGTAATTATTGTTTTTATTTGGACATTGCTTTCAGGGTACAAGTTTCCAGGCTTTCTGAATGTGTTTTTTCTACAAACTTTATTCACTTTTAACACGTTTTTGCTTCACCCTTTTCAGAACTAAGCTTTTGTATTTCAGCTGGATAGTGCATTATCATTATAGTGAAGTTCTGGTGGTGGGTTTGAGCAGCCAATGCCCTAAATGCAGCAGACTGTCAATTTTTTCCGTTCCCATTTTTCCATTTATTACCATTTTCAAATTAAAAACTAAAATGAAATAACCGTTTAATGGAAGGCTTTTTCACTTACTGTACTACATTTTTAGCGTATACTTTAGATGTTTACCCTGACTGGATATACCAGATATATTTAACTGTGCAGTATGCCTAAAAGGGAAATATCTTGATCTTTCAAAAATCGGTTATATCACAAGACTGTGCTGTCTGGTCATTTATAAACCACAAAACAAGCTCGAACAAGTCTAGCCTTTAAAAATGAAAGCTGGCAAAACAAATCCAAGTCATGAGGTGGAATGCAGGTGGGTCACTATAAATTGTCAGGCATAAAAGGAGATTCAGGTATTTCCCATTCTAAAGTGTGCTAACCTGATCATGTTGATACCAGGCTGTGATTTTAGCACAGAACCTCATCAACTTGTCCTAATTTCAAGTCTCATTGCTACTGAAGAAAATAGCTTTGGCTTCCTTAAGTGTACCTGCTATGAGCAGTGTCCACAGCAAAATTATTATTTATTTTCATTCATATAATGTGTTGAAGGGAAGAAAGAAGCTGTTGGTATGCATGATGGGCTGCAATTGTCTTAGTTTATAAAGTCTCAGCCAGCACACATAACAACAGTGAAAAGGATGATAAAATAGCATAGGGCTGAAATATTAAATGAGGTGGGGTACAGTGGTAGCATAGGGGAAGAAAGTGTAACCCATGTTTAGCCCCAGTCCTTCACACAGTTTCCCTGAGTCTGAATCTTGACCTGAGGAACTCCATGTCATCCCATTTCTCTCTCCACCCATTTCCTGTCTAGTGACTGTCCAATAAATCCACTGGGGCCTAAAAAATAAAAGAGTAGTAACACAATTGATTTTTTTTTTTTAAACAATAGAGATATTCAATTTGAAAAATGTGCTTGCTATAGGATGAGGGTGTCACTAATCCAATGTCAGATATTTGCAAGATTCTTTCTGTATGCTAAATATGAGGCTTTCAGCAGCTGTTCAAACTCTGGACCATAAGGTGTTATTTCCTGGGAGGACGGAGTCGACATAACATATTTGAAAACGTAGCTAAAGTTAAAAGAAAAACCTGTAAAAAAAAATGTTCAACTGGAAAATAAAAGTTCACAAAAGTTCACAATAAATACTTATATCTAAACAGGTAAAACATGCATACTCTCCAATGTGATTCTAATCTTAATTTCTAAACTTTAAGCCTTTTTAATATATTTTACTGTTTACATTATATGCACATGATAATCCTCCCCTCATCCTATACTTGTTATCCATCACATTATCTGTTCTGGACCAAGATCTGTATGAACAGCATAATGGCAGCTTGTTAAAGAATTGATGAAGAACAGAAGAGCAGCAGAAAGTAGCCTGAGGGACAGCCAGAGGAGACAGACAGAGTAGACTCGGATGCTTTGAGCTTTCTTTTACAAGGATGCTCATTCATTGGTCACTGGCTTCTGGCACACAGGGTAGTTCTGTCTAAGTGTGTCTTCTCTATCTCACGAGGACTTGCAAGAAAGCAGCACAAAAACAGATAATTTGCTATTGGCATGCAACATGCAAAACACCGACAAGATGAATCTGAAACTGTCATCACAAGACTTCTGGCTTGTGATCCTCTGCTATGACTTTTAACTCTGCTGACCGGTCCCACATTTAGGTATTTTCTACACAGGCTGGATTTGACACCCCGTTGGGTTTCTGTGAAACTGTAAGGATCGACTAAATTTCCTAAAAGATCCACCTTACCTTCTGAGTTCTGATTTGACACTTAAGTCCCTGCGGCCTTGTCAGACTGCAAACATCCACCCTCTTCTCTAAATGACCTGCTCAGATCTTCAGTCTTCCTTCCTTCTCTTGCAAATGTGTGCAGACGGGCCTGTGTCTGCCTCCTTCTTTCTCATGCCCCCCCTTCTGTATACTCTTCCCACCCTCTTCCCCTCCTACTAGTGCTGATAGCTGCAGGGCAAACACCCCCTCCTTCTTGCTCTCACCCCTCTCTCCCATCCTGCCACTCAGTCTTTGCATCTGTCTCCACTGTGGTTCAATCTCCAGCTCATGCAGCAGCAGCTGGAGTAGTAGCCAACCAACCCCACGATGCTTGTTTGAAATCACAAGGCCTTTCTTGGCTTACTTCCAGTAACACTCTTTGTTTTTTCGGTCTCTTTTCCCTGTGAATTTTTAAGCTAGACTTCTGAGGCCCATTTCACAAAACAGGCATACTGAAAAATCAAAGTTTTCTAAACCTGAAATCAGGGAAGCTTTGAGTTTCCTCAATCTCTGTATCTGTTACCGTAGTAACATTCTCCCCAGAGGTAATCTGGTCAGAAGCTTCTGTTCATTAAACTCATTGTGTCCTCTTGCCTGGTTCTATTTCCTCATTTAGTCATGAAAGGTCTGTTGTAGTTTTGTGTGAAAAATAAAAATAAAACTAGTGACTAGGTCCATTAGACACACTAGGTGATAAAAAGACAAACATAGTATGAGTTGCCGTCCTTTAGACAAGAATGAAATTAAAGAATGAAAGGGATTAATTCGCAGAGCATTAAATATTTATAGGGAGAGGATCTCAGACCACGTATAGATGCCATTTTATATTCATAAAGTTATCTTTATGAGCAGAGGTGGGTAGTAACTAGTTACATTTATTCAATCATCTGCTTGAGTATCTTCTCGAAAAAACAAAACAAAAAACTTTCTGGAGTAGTTTTATATCATTGTACTTTTTACTTTTACTTGAGAAAAAATATAAAGTATCTCTACTTTAACTAGATTAAAATGTCTGTTGATTGCATTCATTGTGAGTAACTCCACATGATGAAAACAAGCTTGTTTTAAACAAATTTGCACCATTGAGAAATATACTTTCATCTTTTTTGTAGTCAAGGCTTATTGGTTAAATGTTATTTTCCATCTGCTGAGTCTACCATGTCATTTGGAAAATTGGTGATAATACAGTAAATAGTATACTTTAATTTAGCCTGGTCTAC